AAAAAAAAAAAAAAAAAATTCCTCGGACATTTTTTGGCTCGTCTGGTTTTGCCGGACGGACCCCCCCCGGTTCGTCTGGCCTGGTCCGTCAGGCCCGGTCCGTCTGGACAGGGCGTCGGCTTAACCCAGCTTTACACAACATATGCCTAAGCAGTCAGAATCCGGTCTTTGGGTCATCCAGGGGGGGTTGGGGGGTATAAACAGTGACCAAAGGGCTTAAAAGGGTACATTTGGACTCATGTTTTCTCATTTATTTTTATCTTGAAATTAACATATATATTTTTCGGACTTTTTTGAATTTTTTTATTTCCTATTTCTTTTTAATATTATGCGCTGGGATCGCCCAGGACCCTGCCCGGTCCGGGCCGCCCGGGGACTAACCCAGCTTAAAAGTTAAGACTTAAAACAGACAAAAATCTTCCTTTTTAAAATATCCGCATTGTTCTGATCCTCGGACTGGTATAAGCATTCCCTCCTATCAGTCCCGTGGTTGCTCAGGTCTATTGGTGGGGAGCTGCACCTGCTGGAAACCGGGTCCAGCGTCCCTCATGTCAGCAAGAAACAACCCCCGAGGCCCATTACCTGGCTACAGCTAGAAAAGAACAAAAACGGACCAAGAAGACAAAGACCTTCCTATCTTGGCATGGCAGGAATATTTTGATCCTGTGGGGGGTTTGTCATTACATTCCGTGAATGCAGCGCAAGCAGGCACAGGTCACAATATACGATTAATAACTAGTACCCCACCGTTTGAATTCCACAGCACCCATGTCCCTACCGTCTTCACCCGAATAGAAACCCCGGTCATTATCACTGTATCTAGACTGAAAGTTGCAGCAATACAGCTGTAATGACTGGTGTTCTATTCGGGTGAAGACGGTAGTATTGCACAGGGGCCAACTTCGTTTCTTAGAGACTTGCAATTCTGCCCCAAGCATTTCTCATGAACATCATACTACACCAGGCCTCACTGCCATCTGCAGTTAATTCGTATGCTAGCAAGATCACCGAATCAACATCTTTGGTTTATATACATCAACCTGTGAAGATCACCTGACCAGGAAGCATCAAGTCGACAACAATCAGTTTGTGCAGAAGAGTTCACCCTCCTGTCATCATTCTATTGCCTGGAACAAGGCTACGTGTGCGTTTGTGACACCATCATTCCCCCATGCGCCACCGCTGCAGCACTAGTGCCAGCATTAGGCAGCACAAGAAGGTGCAGAGCGCTGCGATCACATGTGAACCATCAGTGACGACGAACCATTCTATTAACTGGCATAAGACTACGTGTACGGTTTTGTGACACTATCATTCCCCCATGCGCCATCGCCACAGCACTAGTGTCAGCATTAGGCAGCACAAGAAGGTACAGAGAGCGCTGTTATCGCACGCGAACCATCTGTGACGACGAACCATTCTATTGGCTGGCAAAAGGCTACGTGTACGGTTTTGTGACACTATCATTCCCCCACGCCCCACCACCACAGCACTTGTGCCAGCATTAGGCAGCACAAGAAGGTGCAGAGAGCGCTGTTATCGCATGCGAACCATCTGAGACGACGAACCCATTCTATTGGCTGGCAAAAGGCTACGTGTACTCTTTTGTGACACTATCATTCCCCCACGCGCCACCGCCGCAGCACTAGTGCCAGCATTAGGCAGCACAAGAACGTGCAGAGAGCGCCGCTATTGCATGCGAACCATCTCTGACCACGAACCATTCTATTGGCTGGCAAAAGGCTACATGTACGGTTTTGTGACACTATCATTCCCCCACGCGCCACTGCCGCACCACTGGTGCCAGCATTAGGCAGCACAAGAAGGTGCAGACAGCGCTGCTATCGCATGCGAACCATCTATGACGACGAACCATCGAACTGGATGAGCTACTAGGTGCAGACTCCAGACATCATACTCACAACAAGAGGGCCCACATTTCTCTGTTTAGGGGGGTGCATGGAACAGATACATAGCTGTTCGTAACCAGATGACGAACAAGTGTTCAAGCACTACTCGATACAGGGGCTATGTATGGTCAGGGTCCTTCAGGAGATGTGCAAGAGTCAGATCCATGACAACAGAATTACAGGCAATTACTACGCAACCGAAACAACACAAACTGGACAGGATTGACAGCTCATTCATAAAAAAAGCATTTCTCTTTTTCTAAGAGCACAACAGTTTGTAAATTCTGCTTCAAATTTTCAAAAATGAATAAATAGCCAGTCATCAGAGTAGTCACACCAATGGTCGGCGCCCCTGGATTGGTCGGGGTCCGACCAGCCGACCATCGGACTGGTCGGCACCTGCTGGTCGGGGTTCGGTCGGCACCCTGTACAAAAAAAAAAGGGTCCAGAACCCCAAAT